GCATTTATAATTCAATAGCTTATTGAAGGAAGCAAATCAAAATTTAAGGATATATTAGTCACTTAGTGCCTCACTATATAAAATTACAAAGAATTAAAGGGTTATATTAGTGAAAGTGATATTAAAATACATAAGTTAACTAAATAATATTTATGGAATACCCGAACCTAGATTATTAATTATTAATATATCAATATTATTTGTCCAAACCTAATTACGAAGCATGATTCTTCGCCAAATAGGATTCCGAAGCACCAGAAGCAGCCACGTAGGCTCAGCGCATTCGGGAATTATATATAGGGAGGATATGTTTTGAAAAGATTCTTTTATTAAAGAAGCAATTCCATATCATATTCGATTTTAATATTTTGTATGCAAATAATTATTTCAAAATTTTGCTTATTTAAAACAATTCAAATTAATATTGGATATTGTAGATCACATCTATTATTTGCTTACTATATATTTAAAATCTAAAATAGGTTGGATTGGGTTTAAGGTGATAAGCACGACCTTTTTTGTTGTGGGAAATCAAACAAAAAGTATACTATTTTAGGTATAAAATCTGATTTCATTTGATAAGCTCAATCAAATTTGATTATGACCGAATCAAACAATTTTGAACAATATTAAATTAATCAATTACTATTGAATTAATTTTTATTTATTTATTTTCACGTCGAAAATTTTCTAAAATACTATTTTTTTTTTTTGTGGAAAATATCGGCTGGATGAAAAGGTCAAATTCAAATTAAAAAAAATTGTTATTTTGAAAAATATATTTTGTAAACCTTAAGTCATAAAAATATGGTCAATGATATCTTTAAATACAACGTGTAAATATGGTCAATAATATCATAAATTATTTTTTTTATTCGGGTAGTTCAATTTAATTGATGATTTTTTTTTTTCCAAAAAGTATGATGATCATATAATTAATTTTATCATATATCTAATGTTTGATGTTATTAGTTTAGTTGGGGATATCCATTATATTCAAATAAATAATATATAATTTTTCATATTTTGCATTTCTTTTCTTACAATAATGGGATGTTAAACATAATAACTATGTTTAATATAAAGTCTTAGAAAAAGTTTTAAGTAAAAAGTCGTCCGTGCATCGCACGGGATAGACACTAGTATATATGCAATATTTTATGTTTTGGTTAGTGTGAGATAATTTTCTATCCATAAATCTGGAAATTAGCAGACTTAAAGTACATATCGCTTGAAGTGGAAACTAACCAAACTAGTGTTGAGTCTGTGTGTTGCGCGGGATGCACAATTTTAAGGCTATTTTTCTAGGCTTAATATTATAATTATGAATAAAGAAAAATGTAAACTGATTTTTGTAATTCCAAAGTAACTAGTACAACGCCCTGTATTCCACGGGTACTTGCTAATATTTTCTTAAAATATAAAATTAATGAGAAAAATTAATTGAAAATTTCAATACCTTTTATAAAAATATATATATTATTATATATTTAGTATGACACTTTTTTATTTGTGCGACTTACCTGTGTTATATTATAATAATTTTTTTAACTTACAACATATATTTACATTAAACATAAATATATCAATTGATAAATAATTTTATTTTTCTAATGATTTTTAATAAATATTATTATTTTTTATTATTATAAAGATAAATAAAATTATTTATTTCATATATACAATATGGATGTCAAATCGAAGATCATCAAAAGAAGATTAATTCGATATATCATATATGTAAAACCGATATGAAATACAAAAGTTATCAACTTTTAAAACAAATTTACAATTCAATAGCTAATTGAAGGAAACAAATCAAAAGTCAGGGATATATTAGTCACTTAGTGTCTCACTATATAAAATTACAAAGAATTGAATGGTTATATTAGTAAAAATGATATCAAAATACCTTAGTTAGCTAAATAATATTTATGGAATGTCCGAACCTAAATTATTAATTATTATATATCAATATTATTTGTCCAAACCTAATTACGAAGCATGATTCTTCGCCAAGTAGGATTCCGAAGCACCAGAAACAACCACGTAGGCTCAGCGTATTCGGGAATTATATATAGGGAGGATAGTATCGATTTTTAAATAGTTGACATTTGAGATTTTAAATAATAAAATTTGATATTTGAAAAATCATACGTATAATTCAAAATCTGTTGCAATTAGGAAAAAAAAATAAGATTTCATAGATAATAGATTATTTTTTTATAGTGACCAAATGAGAATTAATTTTAATATTTAAATTTGAAATTCGAAATTATAAATGATTTTGTATGCATTCAGGTTTTCGAATAAATAGTTAGAGGAAATTTGAATTCAACAAAAACGTAAGGCTGACAGATTTTATGACATTCTATTGTTTTGGGGAAAAAAATTATGAAAATTAATAAAAACAACTAAAACTTGCAGAATTTCGAATTTTAATGGATGTCTGATTTTTTAGGCAAGAAATTAAAAAGAAATTTGAAAAATTGTCGGAAATAAAATCATTAAATGGTTGTTGATTTTTTCTTGTTACTATTTTTAATAATAAATTGTCTTTATATATATAGATATAGATTAGAGAAATACATAGTAAAAGGACGAACATCCATCACATAAACTGATGTATTATGATTACATTTAAAAAATATATATGATTTTGGACAACCAAAAATGAAATTATTTATTTACAAGTACGGCGTTCTACATTTTATTTTCTGTCATGGCGAAGTATAGAGCAGCAAGAACTTGACAGGAGAAAAGCATAATATTTACACATCAAAGCATACATAATATACACATTTCAAATGTACACAATTTCTGAGCTCCCACTACAAGTTAGAAGTTCCGGTAAGGTCTTCGTAATTTAGTCGCTACTTTAAGCACTGAAGCTCACAAAAATAAGACAGGGAAGATTAAAAAAACAGGAAAAAAGAAACAAAATAAAAGGTGAATGCAACAACCAAAAGCCAAGTACCACTGCAGTCACTTCTTGTAATCGGGTACAAAACTCGCGCATCTAATTCGAAAGGCCTTTTGAAGTATAAACTCTAGATGACGAGGCCCTGCCCAACGACACAGAGGCTAGAGATGATGCCCAAACTCGAGCATTTCTGGCCCCTTTGTGGAAGTTCCTAGTTTTACAAATCTTGATCTTGCTCCAAATTCTCTTTACATCGATCAGATGGAGAACCTGCCCTAAGAGCTGCTTTGACTCACCAAAAACTCCCAAATTGAGATGAGGAATGTAAGCGGCCCACAGTGTCTGTATACGAGATGCGATTTCTGGATAAATATACAGAAAAACCCTTAAAAAGATGAACATTACAGAGAGTACAAGATAAGGTTCCCTCAAGAGAGTTTCCTTGAATGAGGCCAGCTTCAAAAGTTGGGGGGCGTCGTGTCCACTTCCTAGATTTTTTGATGTATTTTCAACCATATCAACCAGTGGATCCATTCCTATGAAAATATAGAATTGATCAAGTCAGAGTTCCATCTCATTGATAAAATATGCAGTGCTTGAAAAACTAAGGTAGACCTAGCACAATCTTGCGTGTAACCGCGCCATGTTTTCTATTCTAAAGTTTGTATTGAGACTAAATCGCTTATCTAATTGGGGTACATAGAAGGGGCACAATATGAAGATACTGTGTCTAACACTGTCAATCAGAACTCAGAACTCATTGGTAACAACCAGAAAGTAATGTCTTATCTTTGGTGCTACCTGTGGCTCTTTTATAGAAATTTTTAAGCGACTGGAGATCTTTGTGACCATGATATCTCATTCGTGCTGTCTGATTCACCATCAACAAGGAAGGCACGCTGTGAATCCCATATCTAGAATAAACACTGCACACAAATCAAAAAGATAGATTTTGGCAATAAATTAATGTTATGAGGTGTTATAAAACCTTGTGAAGTTGTGATTTGAGTAAGCTCAAGGGAGCAAGCATAATACATATAGTAAAGGAAACACTGCCTAATTTTGATTCCTGTAACATTTTTAAAGGAATAAAATCCAGTCAATCGTGCACCCAACATTAAATTTTATGCATAATATACAAATAAATATATTAAAAAGGTCCACTGAGACTCTTCCCAAGTATAAGGGGTGAATAAGGGGTACATAAAGACTATGATCTACCATAAACCACATTCAGTCTTGACCGGTCACAAATAAACCAATTCTTTGGAATTGGAGTAAACAAAAAACTAATCAACAGGAAATATATTAAGACTGCTACCTGGGCATGGCTGAAGATTGTTCGACCATTACATGTTTAATCTGGGGATACATGGAACTCATAGTAGAAAACTTCAACTGAAAGACGCTTGAGAAAGGGCACCAGGAAGCATAAAATAAAACAGCAGTATACTCGTTCTTCTGACTGGAGCTCATCACTCTCTCTAATGATTCCCCATCCACCTTGACAAATTAAATTCACCAGTGAATGATTGTACAACATGAAAAAAAGATATAAGAGATTCCAGAAGTCTGAATACAACAACAACAACAACAACAACAACAACATAGCCTTTTAGTCCCAAACATTTTTTTCCAGAAGTCTGAATAGTAATGAATAATTTATAAATTAGTGTGACCTCACATGGAGATTAAGGAGCATCATCCTTCAAATTTAATATCAAGAGTAAGAACCATCACATACCGACATAAAATTGAAATATAAGAACTTTACCAAGTAACATTAGTGCTATCCAATCTACTCCTTCGACTAAGATTATAAAAAATAAATTATCCAAATGAATGTGCTCCTTCTCATTATGTTTTGTTGCCTCGCTTATCTTCACATAATTGTTCAGCCACTATAGCGACAGAGACAAATAATATTGATGAGTCACCGTAGCCAGCAAACACATACCGAAGTACCACCAAGAAAGAATAAAAGTTGATTGGCGTCTGCCCAAAAACATACACAAAACTACATAAGCTTCAACTTTGAGGAAAAATACCTATGCAGTCATTCTGGACATGAAGACTTGCCTAGTTATTGCATTGTCATTTGTCAGCCATCCAGCCAAAAAGCCTAATGAAACAAATGGAACCTAGGACATATGTTCCTAGTGTTTTATTAGAGCATCACTCCCTAGTGAATAAATTGGTGAGTTTCATAAGTTTTTGCTACAGACATTAATTTATGAATAACTAAATCCCATGTGGCAACCTAATTGGACAATATAACAGTAAACCATTAATTAAAAACTTTTGCATTATTAACAGTTTATTAAGCCTTAATGGCACCGCCACAGCGAGAAGCTAGAAATGCATTGGGAAATTGCATCGCCCATCCTGAGCCAGGAGCCTTGTAGTGTAGCGCCTTTCCTCACGCCAAGGCGCCTGAGAGGGGCGCCCCTCCTACACAAACAATTGAGACCTGAGGGTTTTCACAATTAGGACAAAATATCTACTTAGATCGGAAATTGGAAGCACCAGCGGCCAAACCATCCCATTCCAGCCACCGGCTACTATGTCACTATGCTGCCGCCAGGACAGCTGCTGACCACAACTACCTATTGCTGCACTCTACATTCCTTTTTCTGTTTTTGCCTTTTTTTTTCTCTTTTTCTATGCATATTTCCTTGCTTATTATCATTTTAGTTTTCCTTTTCCATCCTTTTCTTTTTCTTTTTCTTTTTTCTTTTCTTATCATTTTAATTTTATGTTTTTTATCTGTTTCTTTTCTTTTTATATTTATTTTTCCTTCGTATTTGACCATTTCTTTCAGTTTCTTTTATAGTATTTGACTCTTCGCTTTAATAAACTTTGTGTTTCTATTATTTCCCTGGTAATGCATGTGCTTAAGACTTGTGTCATGTGCTTGTGTCTTGTGTCCTTGCCTTCGTGGGGGATATTTGACATTTGAGGTTGATTTTGCCACTTAAACTTAAATAGCACAATCTATATTACAACTTTTTTACATTTGGTTTCTTATGTTGCCATGGCCTTGCCTCTCGCCTTGTGGCCATTCCATGGGCAAATCGCCGTTCGCCATTTAGAACTATGCATGTGATAGTAATATATTTGCTTGCATGCATGTAATTGACAACATAGACCATGTGCAATTATCTATCAAACATTTCAACCTATTAACCCTACAAACACTTTGCTACAATCAGCAAATAATAACTTGTAACATGACACTTGCCATTTTAATTAATTCAGCCAATATAACGTTATTAACTTTTCAACAAAGAATTTAAATCCTCAGAGTCAATAGAAGTTGATGATTCCTTCAAATAAGGAACAAAAAGTACTTACAAGTCATCAAATGTAACACTTATTAACTTCCATATAAAGTATCTGATATTACTCCAGTAGCAGGAATTATCAATGACAATTCTCTTTAGGCACAAATCTAAAGTTACTCGTACACCAATGCTGATAGAGATCGAATGAAATAAGGCATAAGTCACGGGAAGTATATTGAAGAATAAATAATAATTATGCATCCAAGGAAAGAAGAATAAATCTACAGATTGTGGAGTAATTTTGGGATCTTGATTATCTTTTAAAGATCATTGTTATCTTGTTTCTACTATTATTACCTTTTATATTATGTCAGTTAAAATGTTAAATACAAATATTGGGCAAGAGTACTTGTTAGGCAGAAATTCGGCTGGGAAGCTTCAAACTTCTGGTTACCATTTATTAAATAAAATTTCATATTTCATTTCCTTGACTATTTACTCCTATCAAATGCAGCTTCTAATTTTTGAAAGACTCATACCCCCGTTTTACAGCATATGATACAGCCTATCACATATAAAAAACATGCTACCATCTAACTGAACCTTTCATTATTGGTATCTTTTCACACATTACAGATTTAATAAATGTAAAAACATGAAGTAAGAGTAACATATAAGAAAATTGGTTGCAAAGCCAGAAAAATGCTAATTAAAATTTCATCTCCGATCGATAAAATAGCATCATATGTGAATCAGCAGATAACCCTTCATGGTAAAATCTCATTGTGATAGATAGATAAATGTAGATATAAAATAGCTTTTAACTCCAAAAGCCATAGTTTTAAATGGAGAATGCAAGAGGCCTCCGCTACACAAGACAAAACAACACTACCTTTTTTTTTTTTCCCCGAAACGATAGGTTTTATATCTCCAAATCAATGTACAATAGGTAGGCTTAACTAGCCCAATACACAACCACACTACTGAAAGAGAGGTCACTGAAGTGCCCTAGAACCAAAACTACAAATGGTGCAATTGTATGTTTAAGTTCAAATGACAAAAATAACATCAAATATCATAAGAAACATAACATTTGACTTAGAAACACAAAAAAATAATAATAATATAAAATACAAATTAGAGAAACAAAGTTAAATGAAAATAAAACCAGAAAAGTAAATAAATAATTTAAATAATAACCAGATAAAGAAATTGAAAACACGAAGTTAAACTGAAAAAGAAAATAAAAACAAAAGAAGAAAATAAGATAAAAAGCAAGACGAAGGGAAAAAAAGCAGAAAAGAAGAAGAATGAAAAGCAGAAACAGGATAAGGTTTGCGCCACAACTCAAAACCCTAGTAGAAAAAGGAAAGGGAAGGAAAAGGAAAAAGAAAAAACAGGAAAGGATGTGTGCTGCACAACTCAAAACCCTAGTTTTTGTGTGTGAACATTGAATGAGAAACCGAATCCAATTGCTTATCATGATATTGTCAAAAAACTAAAAAACTGGACAGGTCCTAGGCGTGGTGCGCCTCCGCTTTGCCTTTAGCAAGAGGAAAGGCACCGCTAGACATCGTGAGGTGCCCACCTCCGCGACAGGCCACATTTTTGGGGCCAATGCGGTGCCATTTTTAAACTGTGCAAAAAGCATAACATTCTAGTAATTCATTGACATGGATCCTTTAATGACAACCAAGTACCCAACTCATCCTTTGATAACTTGGAAATAATTCACACTTTACCATTTGCAGCTCAAAAGTTTCCTTCAAGACTGTTCAATTCTTCACAAAACTATAGACTTTGACCCACATTTTAATATTATTGATGCGTCTCACACATAACTATTCAACTAAGTTTACGCCACTAATAATTTAAAAACCTACCTAAATAAGCCTCCTTCACCTCTTAAACCACTAAACCACATTTATGGAATACATAGAACAAACAAACATCACAGCTTCAAAATCCCATTTACTGTCGACAAATTATCATGTTAAAATACCATAACCCTAAATCGCAACTAAAACAAAAGCACACTCATTGACCTAGCGCGCATAGCATCACCACCTTCATAACACAACTTCAAGCTCTTCAACAAAAATATTGCCTAGTCCCAACTAATCGTGCTATAAAACAAAGCAGTAAGTTTTAACAAACCGACACTCTCCCCCCTTGTAACTCATTGAGAAGAAAATCCCATTCAACAAAATATAAGGAGGTATCAGGTGACAGAAAGGTTACAAGCTTTGTGCTATATAAGATAAAACTTTATAGAGGATCTTTCCTAGCGGCAAACGGTTCTCAAAAAATGAGTACTCAACGATCGAAAACACTCTCAGGTTCTCAACAGGATTGATAAATACAGCATGTATCTAAGATCAATTAAAGCATTAACCACCATCCTCAAGAGAAAGAAGACAACAAAAAAAACATGATTGATACACAAGATACGCACTTGAACAATAAATTACACAAATCAGCAGAATAACAAAGGCATAGATGAAATAAACAATAACCTGGATAGGAGAAGAGAAGAAAGGGGCCGCACACGGACATAGATGATTGAGATCGTGAAGAAAAGCTTTGGAATCAAGTCCACAAATGGCGGATGAGGACGCCAATCCAAACGACATCACGGACTCCATTAATACCCACATAAACAATACGCATATGCATTTTCTCATCGCAAACTCCATGGATAGATTGACACGGAGCGCTAAAACCCAGCCAAACAACAAAACCCTAATCTTGCCTCCTAATTATCAGCAGCAATAATGCTTGGTTCTCGAAACACAAGAACCCTAGAGAGAGAGAACATTCAACAACCACCGAATCTAATATATTTT